TGCTGGGTTTCAGTAAGTGAGCGACATAGCCGTTGTGTAAGTGGAGCCTGTTGTGTGCACATGACTGAGAGAATCTGTATTTCTGTGCTTTACAGCAGAAAGATGAAAGTCTTAGAATCATTGATTGGGATGATCCAGAAATTCCCTTATGATGACCCTACTTACGATAAACTCCATGAAGACTTAGACAAAATCAGAGGGAAATTTAAACAGGTGCGTGCGCTGTGGTTTCCTCCTGCTGGGAGGGCCTGATTGTGCCTTTCCCGGGTGGGGCGTTGCACTCCCGTGGCCGCTGCAGCGATGGCATGGGGCTGCGTGCCCCGTGGAGCTGTCCGCAGAGGCGCCTCATCCTTGAGTCGCAATGCAGGAAAACTGAAGACGGTCCAGAGAGCAGGAGTTAGAACTCACTCATGGGTCGGCCACATAGACAGGAAAAGCTATAGCTAGAAATAGAGTTGTCTTCTCATTTTTCAGTAAAAATGCACAAGACTAAAAATACCATCTCTTCTCTTTCGTGTTTTTAGTTTTGTTCATTACTCAACGTTCAGCCAGACTTTAAAGTTAGTGCAAAAGGTTCCGGACTTTCATTTTGAGGACGATGGATGAACAAAGACCAGACATCGAGGACCAGCTGACTGTGTGTGGAGTTCTTAGCAGCGCGGTGAAGGGCCAGGCGGTGCTGGGAGGGGATTGTTGAGTGGGGAGGACGAGGGTTCCTGTCGGCCGTGGGAGAGGCGCCTTCCCCGGGGTTTTCAGCCCATGTCAGCTTGGTGCCCGCCTCGGGGCCTCCACACACGCCCTTCGCTGGGCTGAAGCCGTCCCTGGCAGAGCCGCTGCTGGCTGCTCCTGCTGGCCTGTGTGCGTTGGCATGGTGGCCGCTCCGGCAGCACTGGCTTGGCTGCTTCTGGGCTGGCTCTGGTTAGGGTCACTCCCCAGGCCTGGACTTGAGGCGGTTTTTTTTTTTTTTCAGTGAGAGAGGCGGTTGCCCTGAACTAGGCTCATGGGAGGTTTTGACGGGTGCTGTGCCGCCTGTTGAGGCCGTGTGCGCCTGGCGCTTCGGGACATGCGTCCTGTGTTTTATTTAATCCCTTCCGGAGCCCGCAAGATGGCTGTTATTCCCGTTTTGCAGAAGAGAAAGCTGAGACGTGAAGGGATTGCCTGGCCTGAGGATACCTGGCAGCGGAGCTGGGACTTCCGTCCCGAGGCCCATGCCTCTCGCCATCACCAGGAGCAGCCTCCTCTGGAATGCACAGGCCACCACCTACAGTGCTGGAGGTCCCTGCCCTCCTTCCCGGGCTGCACAGGTCCTGCCGAGCCTCGTGGAGCACGGGGGAGTCCGTGGTGGCCAGGTTGCCTGGGCATCTGGCTGAGAGGAAGAGAGGCCAGCCCAATCCCGAGGGGACCCGGACATATCCTTCACACTGTCCCCAGAGGGGCAATGAACTTTACAGCATTGGAAAGTGGTGAAGGGGGAAATATGTTGAACCAAAGACCAAATGTTAGGCCATCACAATATTTGCAGAAACTTTGAGAACGTGTGTGCAGCCTCCTGCGTTCTCCCCGCTGCTGGGAGCTCTTCTCTCTCTCAGTCCTTACGAGGCGTCCTACAGAGGCAGTGAGGTGGGCACAGATGAGTGGAGTGCGTGGTTCCGTGGGTCCCCACGAGCTAAGTGCTCCTGTGCAATGGCATGTGTTCACACACCCTCCTGTGTGTACTCCAGGGTCAGCAAAGTCCCCACATGCCGGCTCTCCCCACCTCTCCTGCTCCAGGAAGCATGTCTGAAAGTAGTCCGTGAGATTGCTAAGGAGTCGTCAGGAATCCACTTTGGTTTTAGAACCATTCCGAATGTCCTGTGGATTGTGCAGCTGCTGGCTGCGGGAGCCAGAGCAGGGGCTCCCACGGGAGCAGCGGCAGGCAGAGAGAGAGGGTGGCTTTGAGATGGAATCTCACTCCGTCGCCCAGGCTAGAGTGCAGTGGCACGATCTCGGCTCTCTGCAACCTCCACCTCCCGGGCTCAAGCGATTCTCCTGCCTCCGCTTCCCGGGTAGCTGGGATTACAGGGGCCTGCCACCATGCCCGGCTAACTTTTGTATTTTAAGTAAAGACGGGGTTTAGCCATGTTGGCCAGGCTGGTCTGCAACTCCTAGCCTGAAATGATCCATCTGCCTCAACCTACCAAAGTGCTGGAACTGCAGGCCTGAGCCCCCGGGCCCTGCCTGCTGTTTTGTTTTTGAAGATAAGACTTAGGTCTCCTCCCCCCGAACTCTAAACCCGCGTGTGTGGCTGTGCACCCCTCGTTTGCAGCCTCGCTTCGCATCTGGGGAAGTCTGAGTTGGGCTTCGCCTCATGCCTTCATCTGAGCTGCCACCTTCCGGCCAGAAAGACTCCCATTCTTTCTAGGTGGTGGGACGAGGGGGCCTCTGTTGTGTGTTTCTTGGTGGATTTTTGCGTCTTGTAAGTTTTCTGTTTTGATAATGTGTTATTTTTATAATTGGAAAAATAAATAAATAGTATATTTTAAAGTGAAAGTTTCTCTGGGACCATTTATAACACAACATCCGGCCAGTTTACTTCCTCCTCCAAGGTATTTAGGATCTGGGTACGATGGAAGACATGCCGTGGATTTCCACCAGCTCGTCTCCTTAACCCGGCGTAGGCATGGCCACTGCCGGAGTGGTCCCATTGTGTGGGGACTGGTCAGCTCCTGCTCGGCCACCTGGTAGCAGCTGTTACTAACCCACCCCCCCGAGACATCTCCATCCCCATCCTCCACCTTCTCTCCCCTCCTCTCCTTTTTCTTTCTTCTCCCCTTGGTCTCCTATTTTCTCTCCCCCGCCCTCTGAGCCTCACCCTCCTCCCTCTTGGCCTCTCCCTCCTCCCTCTCTGCCTCTCCCTCCTCCCTCTCTGCCTCTCCCTCCTCCCTCTCTGCCTCTCCCTCCTCCCTCAGCCTCTCCCA